TGTGCACAAAAGGCCCTACACTTTTGCCTCTGGCTGTCCTGAGACTGCACAAGCAGGAGGTGAAGGCTAAGTCAGAGTTGTAAAATTCCTGACTGAGTGTTGAAGCCCCAGGCCAAAGCCAACATACACACTGAATCTCTCCATAAAGACTGGGAGATTTAGATTTTTTTTTTTTTTAAGTAATCTCCACACCCAACGTGGGGCTCAAACTCATGATCCCAAGACCAACAGTTGCATGCTCTACCGACTAAGGCAGCCAGGTGCCCCAAGACTAGGAGATTTTTCTTTGTCTATTCCGGGTTTTTAGAACAATCCCTGTCCAGGGCGCCTGGGTGTCTCAGTCAGTTAAGGGGCTGACTTCCGCTCAGGTCATGATCTCACAAGGTTGGAGAGTTTGGGCCCTGCATCTGGCTCTGTGCTGACAGCTCAGAGCCCGGAGCCTGCTTCATATTCTGTGTCTCTCTGCCCCTCCCCAGCTCACACTCTGTCCCTCTCTCTCAAAAATAAATAAACATTTAAAGAAATTTTAATAAAAAATAAATAAAGTGCAAAATGAGGAAATGAGTGCATTTGAGTATAATGATGCAGCAGCTGTGGAAAACAGTTTGACGGTTCCTCAAACAATTAAACATAGAATTACCATGTGATACAGCAATTCCACTCCTAAATATATACCCAAAGGAAGTTAAAGTAGGAGCTCAAACAGATACTTTCACACCAATATTCACAGCAGCATTACTCACAATAGACAAAAGGTGGAAACAACCCAAGTGTCCATCAACAGATGAAAAGATAAACAAAATGTGGTTTATGCATACAATGGAGTATTCATTCAAAAAGCCTGTAAAGGGGAATGAAATTCTTATACATGCCACAGCATGGATGAACCTTGAAGACATTATATTAAGTGAAACAAAAGGACAAATACTGTATGATTTCACTTATGTGAAGTATCTAGAATAGGCAAATTTATAAGCAACAGGAGGTAGAAGGGAGGTCGCTTTCTACTAGACTGAAGAAAAGGGATATGAGGAGTTATCATTTAATCATAATGAGGGTACAGAGTTTCTGTTTGGGAGGATGAGAAAACCTGGTAATGGACAGTGGCGATGGTTACATAACATTGTCAACGTACTTAATGCCCCTGAACTGTTCACTTCAAAATGATTAAAATTATAAATTTTATGTATATCATACCACAATAAAAAAATATAAAAAGAAAAAACTACCAGGTACACAAAGAAGCAAGAAATGGTAGCCTGGACACAGAAAAAAATAGGCAATTAATACAACCTGCCCCTGAAATCCTAGACATTGATTTTACTAGAAGACTCTAAATCACCTATTTTAAATATGATCAAGGTGGTAAAGGAAGCCATCTGTAAAGAACTAAAGAGGGGCGCCTGTCTGGCTCAGTCAGTAGAGCACACAACTCTTGATCTTGGGGTGGTGAGTTCAAGCACCACATTGGACTTAAAAAAATAATAAATTAAATACATACATTTATTAAAAAAAAAAAAAAGAACTAAAGAAAAGCATGAGAACAACATCTCACCAGACAGAGAGTATCAATAAAGAAATTGGAACCATATAAAGTAACCAGATAGAAATTCTCAAGTTGAAAATGACAAAAACTGAAGTGTAAAAATCACCATCGGGACTCAACATTCCTTTTGAGCTGGCAGAAGAAAGCATCAGCCAACTTGAAGGTAGGTTAATTGGAGTTATCCAGTCTAAGGAAGAGAAAGAAGAATGAAGAAAAATGAACAGAGCCCATGAGCCAGAAGATGGTATGATGACATATTCAAAGGACTGAAAGAAAAAACTGTCAACCATGATTCTATATCCAGCAAACCATTTCCTCAAAACTGTGCCCAGAGGAATTGAAAACTTAGGTCCACACAAAAACCTGCACACAGATGTTTATAACAGCTTTGTTCATAATTGTCAGAATAAGTTATTCCTAAACCTGGAAGCAACCAAGATGCTCTTCAGTGGGTGAATGAGTAAGTAGGGGGATGCATAACAATGGATACATATCTTTATAAACTTGTCCAAGACCATATAATGTACAATGTCAAGTGTGTACCCTAAAGGAAACCGTGGACTTTTGTGATTATGATGTGGCAATGTAGGTCCATCCTTGTAACAAAAGTACAACTCTGGGGATAGAGAATGCATAGGAAATCTCTGTACAATCTTCCCAATTTTGCTATGAACCTAAAACTGCTCTAAAATAATAAAATCTTCTTAAAAAGAAAGTCAAAGCAAGGGGGAGAAATTAAGACGTTTCCTGACAGAGTGAGTTTTGCTTTCTGACAATATCCTTAAGTACTACCTAAAGACCCTCAGCTTTGCAGTGAATACCAGGTTATGAAACCATGGCCCTCCTACCAGGGTGGAAAGAGACTCTGGGCCTCGGTTTCATCATTGCCTTGTGCTACCAGTTAACACTCCGCGCTCCTCACTATGAAAACCAGTGCCTGGGTGGCTCAGTCGGTTAAGCTTCTGACTTTGGCTCACGTCATGATCTCGCACTCTGTGAGTTTGAGCCCCGCATCAGGGTCTGTGCTGACAGCTCAGAGCCTGGAACCTACTTCAGATTCTGTGTGTCCCTCTCTTTCTGTCCCTCCCCTGCTCATACTGTCTCTCTCTCTCTCTCTCTCTAAAAAATCAATAAACGTTTTTTAAAAATTTAGAGAAAAGCATATTATCTATCTCTCCTTTTTCACAGTCGAGAGAAAGTTTTCAGACGGTTGTGCAATGGACTGTCTTCCTTCATCTTCTGTTCCGGTGTGATGACTGACATTTGAAGCTAGAGGTTAGGAGGAGGAAGAGTTAGGGCTTTGAAGGAAAAGTATGAGCTAAAAGGTGGAAGTGCTCATTACACTGGGGAAGCAAATGAGTAAAATGTCAGAGAGAAGAAAAAAAACTTCTAAGGTAAAGGACAAATTATTGCATCTGGCCCCTTCTACAACCAGAGGGAGGCATACCATCTATGGAGCCTCTTTGAATTTTAGGCAACATATTCGTCATTTGGGTCTGTGATCTGGCCCATTTACTGAGTGTCTCGAAAAGGAGCTAGTTTTGAGTGGGGGTCACAACAGAAGAGGGCTCTGCAATAGGTCCAAGCTGCTGTGTAAGCTGCTCTGACACGGGCTTTGTGATCCAAAAGATCTAATGGTGCACAAAGTGTCGAGGGCAGACGAGGATGCCGTTTGGAAACTTTG